ACTATTACAGGCTTTTCTAATGACCCTCTCTGCCTCCTCCTTCTAGGTTTTTTTCTCATTGTGTCCCCAGCCCTTCACTGTGGTTCTAGGATATTTCAGAGATAGGAATGGCCTCTCAGTGCCACTTACAGGACAAAGTTTGAGACAGGTGGGCAGAGCCTTCTCTATCTAAAACCCAACCCAAAATCTCCCTGAAAACAGTGCTTTATTATTTTGGTAATTAGCCCCATTTATAAATACATTTATTAGGTAATTGATGCAGACAGGCAAGATGGTTCAGTGGGCAAAGGTGCTTGCTGACAAGCCTGATGACCTGAGTTCAGTCTCCAGAACCCACATGACAGAAGAGAACAACTTCTCCAAGTTGTGTGTGACTGTTCGCACACGGGGCACACACAAAATTGTAATGATACAGTCAAACGGCCCCTTGGATTTTGGCCTATGAGGCTCTCCGTGACTTCATATCTGCCTTGCCAGTTTCACTTTTAGTAATACTTGCTTAGCTTTGAACCCCAAACTTCAAATACCCTGATTCTTTGAAGATGGTGCAGACTCCCTCTCTGTTGGTACTACCCACCCTTCGTTCATCTCCCGAACCCCTGCTATTATCAAAATCTGACTGTGACCTCCCCTACAAAGCCCCCAACCCCAAAGAGAAACCAGCTCCCCGCGGTGCTTCTTAGCCCAAGGCACCATTCACACTAGCTCTGGATACCCGAGCTCAACATAAATCTGACGCTAGCATCTCTCACGAATACAAGTGAAAACAAACCACCACCACCACCACCACCACAGCCCTTTGTCCCCATCAGTCAAGTCGTCACAGACAGCTGTGACCTGACAGCCTGAGCTGGGAAGTGAGCAGTTCTCCTTCCCTAAACAGTAACCACTGGCAGGAGAACTGAGTGTGAGGGGGGAGCACAGCCATGCCAGGCAGCAGGGGATGATGGTGGTGGGCATAATGGAATCCACAGGAGCCAGCAAGTACTGAGTACTTGCTGTTACATGAAGCATATTCTCTGCACAAGGCTTACCATGTATAATGGCCTACTACTCTGAGACACAGACTCTTTGGGAAAAAAAAAATCACTTGATTATTTTGGTAACTACTTTACATTATTTATGGAGGGGATGAGGATGCGTGGTGCAGCACCTGTGTGGAGGCTAGAGGATATTGGGGAAGTTGGGGCTCCTTCCATCATGGCAGTTCTGGAATGGAATTCTGGTTGCCAGGCTGAGCCATCTTGCTGGTCTCACAGACTCTTTCATTATTCTCCCTTACAATTGAGAAAGAGTGTCTCAAAGAAATTAAGTATTGAGCTAAGGTCACAAAAAGAAAAAAAAGAAAGAAGGGAAGGAAGGAAGAGAAAAGGCAGAAATTGTATTCAAAATCAGGGATCAGGCCTCAGAGTCTATGTGGTGTAATGACTATGAGTTTTGTAAGATAATAATGCAGACACATATATACATAGTTATAATTATATATACATACTGAAACAACACATTTGAACCCAGGAAATTAATTCACATCAGATTGACACATTAAATTAAGCAAGACTGTACCTTTTGGGAGGAGGGCTTGAGACAGGGTCTGTGTAGCTCAAGCTGGCCTCATACTCATTGTGTAGCTGAGGATAACCTTGAACTCCTGATCCTCCTGCCTCTACCTCCCAAGAGGTAGGATTACAGAGTGGGCCACCACACCCAGCAAGACTGTATCCTGACAACCAATGGACTGTTTCATCCCTTTAAAAAACTGATGTGAACTGTATTTCAATCAATCATTAATCGACCCATTTCATGAGGGTCTGCCACAGTGCTAGCTAGTGACAAAGTGCCCAGGCCATCGTCCCTTGTCTCTGGGAGCTCACAAGAGGAACCTAGTATGATGATGTGACTTGGAATCACACAGATCTATACAGCCTAGTAAGGGACCACTCATTTGGTGGCAGATTTACCCAGTGCTCAGGTGCCGCTGTCAACCATTCATGAACCAAAGAGCAGACTTTACTACTGCAAGGTCACTGTTTTGAACTGGGAGAGCGCTGTCCATTCTAATAACTATCTTGCCTGAAATTTGGTTAATTCTAGAAACCCAGTTCTTCACAGGAGGGAAAATGCACTATTACTGCTATGTGGGCACATTCTATGAATACAGCATTCATATACACACACACACATATATACATACATATATATGTATAGATAGGTCATGTACACATATATCATGTATTTTGTGGCTTATGAGGTCAATTCCCAAAGGTCTGGACAAAACCAGTGCTGTCCAGATGATACGAACAAAGTGTGGAACTTAAAAATTTCTATTCTCTACTTTTCCCTTTTCACATCACTCCATCTGACAAAGTTAAGCACATGTATTCGGTGACAGCTTTGTTTTTCTTTCTTTTCTTCTTTTCCTATTTTAGTAGTAATTTTTTTTTTTTTTAAATTTTTTGAGACAAGGTCTCACTATATTCAGCCTTGGCTGGCTTGGAACTTACTGTGTGGACCAGGCTGGCCTCCAGCCCACCGCCATTCTCCAGTTTTGGCTTCCCAGACACTGGATTACAGCTCTGAGCCATTGTACTTGGCTTAACAGTCGAATCTGCATTGTCCAGTGGTGCTGGGTTGAGCTCAGGGCCTTTGCACATGCCAGGCATATGATGTACACTGGCTGTGCCCTAGCTCCTCACAGTCTGAGTAAGTGGTGGAAAAAAACTCATGGAATTAATTTCAATCATACATTTAAAATTTTAATGTGATCAGTATAAAATTCGAGAAATTCTCTAGCTTTAATATTTGAACTCTATTTTAATTAATTAATTGTGTATGTGTGTGGGGGCATGAGTGTGCCATGGTGACAGAGGTTGATTCTCTCCTTCCACCACGTGGGTTCTGGGGATCAGTCTCAAGCTGTCAGAGCTGGCAGCAAGTGCCCTTACTCTCTGAGCCATTACCCAGTCCTGCTCATTTAAAGACAGTGTTGTGAAATATAGCCCAGGCTGGCCTTAAATTTGTAGTCCTCTTGCCTTAGCCTCCCCAATGCTGGAATTCTCTGAAATCTGTTAAACATTTTATACCCACAGAGCATCTCAGTTTGGAGCAGCTTCATAGTGAATGCTCAGTGTCACTTGGGGCTCGTTCCTGCCTCCCTGGGCAATGCAAGTATAATACATTTAGAGCTGCGGCTGTCACTAGAGAAAGAGGAGAACGCTCTGTTCCCGCCATACCTTACTCCACAAACAAAGGAGGCTAAGAGGAGCAATAATGCATGCAAGAGAAATACTGTTGAGTTACTGAAGTTACTGTGTGATTACTCTTAACTGGGGCAGATGTTGCAATTAATGCTAAGAGTTTAGAGGACAGAATTATTAAAAAGTCCCAAAGACATTTTCATGGAGTCCATAAACAAAGGAAGAGAAAGAAGGTGGGGAAGCAAAGGTACATTACAACATCCAAGGACTGACCCTTTCATACCAGACTAACCACAGTGCACATCTGGGTGATGCCCTTTGCCCCCACAATGCACTTTAAGGTAGCTTGAGTTTGAGAACAGGGTTCAATATGGACAGAGCTGGACCAACGATTTCCCACACACAGCTTTGCCACACTCTGGTGAAGAGGTTAGTGAGCAGGCCTTTTAGACACATCTGCAGTTACAGATATGGAATTTGGATGAGATATAGAAAGGCAAAAATCTAGGAGAGCCTGTTTGGTAGCATCAGGTTTACATTCTTTGTATAATCTCTGGGCCCCAGTTAACTCACAATCAATTAAAGTGGGTGAACACATAGGTTCCTCACAGCTAGAATGACAGGTATTTTATCGTACAGACATGGATGCTTTCAAGAATATAAGGGACAATATTCATAACTGCTGTGAGGAGAGCTACAAGCTGAGACTTTACCTTCTTTTTTTTTTTGAGACAGGATCTTATGTAGCCCAGGATAGTTTAGAACTCTAGCAGCTGAGTCTAGCCTTGAACTCCTGATCTTCCAGTCTCTACCTCTCCAGTGCTGGGATCATATGCCTGGTCAAACCAGGATGTGGTCCCCATAAGCCAATGTGACCCTCTACTACTGGATGTGGAGAGGATTCTGTGTTCTGATTATCTCTGCGTGGCCCCGGGGGCTTTGTGAGCTAATACACATCAATCTGGGTGAGGCAACTTCAGCCCCCCCTCCGCCCACAAAATGCTTTGAATTGGTTTCAGTTTGGGAGCAGAGGTCCATATGGACAGAGCTGGACTCTGACAGCGGGAACATATTTACTGAAGGCAACAAATCACAGACAGGCTAAATCCAACAGAGGGAAGGCCTGGCCTGCGTGTACTCAGAAGCTCCTTGGACAGGCCTAATCAATTAGGAGAAGCTTATTTTAACCAGTTGCAGGCTCATTATCCTGCATTCCACTCTGGATTGGTGAAAATCCATTTTAGTCTGTGGCCTGGAACTCATGTACTGCACTTCCCGAGGCCTCTTATATAAACATATCAAATTATTTTTATTTGGGATGTCCTTCTCTAATTCACTTTATGAATCATGATTAAAATAGAACAATTGTATGTGGGTCTACAATCAAACACACACATGGTCTAGAGACATGTATGAAGGCAGAGCCCGAGGGAGGAACTCTTACACAAACTGGTAGCGGGTGGATTGAGACCAGGAACTCAAATATCCACCAATAAATGAGCCACTCAGCTATCTCTACAGGATGAATAGGACGAACCATTTTCAGAGAAAATTATAAAATAGCAAAGGCCAAGGTCTTCAAAACACAGAGGGTATCTGAGTAGAGTTCAGTCTTCTCTGGATGGACAAATAGACCATATTTAAAGATGAAATTCCAAGCAAACAGGGCAGAGTTCCTTGAGATGCTTCTAGGAAGGAGCCACATGTATTGTTGGTCAGTCTTACACACTTAGCTACGGGCGAGTGTTCGGCAGAGCTGCCCAAAACTCTCACGTGCAAAGTTCTAAGGTAGGATGTGAGTCATACCTGGTTGCGTGCCTTCTGCAGGTCTGCTCAGGCAGTCAGTCAGCAGGAAGAGAATATCAATGTACACGGCTCTGGTCACCAAGCATGGATTTCGCCTACAAGAGTAAAGAGTAGACAGTAAACTGCCTGGGCCGTAGGGAAGAGAAACACAGGCATTCTCTACTAGGAATGTCACGAGGTTCAGGCAGCCATATCACACTAACAATGATGGACTATTGTGGGTAGGAAGAAAATGGGCCATTTGTAAAAGTGAGTCCAGGAGCCTGTGGCAGAGGCTGGCTGTCTCAGTCACTGTTCTATGGCTGTGAAGAGACACCACGGTCGAGGCAACTCTTATAAAAGAACACATTTAACGGGGGTTAACCAGAGGGCATTTTGAGACATGACTACAAATGTCGAAGGGATGTGTTTGGATCACAAAGAACTGGCATGTGCTGGGAAAGCAGAAGAGGCTCCTCCGATGGCTGCTCCTTCGTCCGGAGTCACTGTGAGCTGCCATGCTGCACAGTCGCAGCCTCCTGCCTCTGTTTTCTAGACACAGCCATAAAGACAAACATGGGAAACTGGTTTGCTCAAACTCAGTGAGTAATAAGCTTTTTATTTTTTTTTTTTTTGGTGGGGGGGTGGGTTTCGAGACAGGGTTTCTCTGTGTAGCTTTGCGCCTTTCCTGGAACTCACTCTGTAGCCCAGGCTGGCCTCAAACTCACAAAGATTCGCCTGGTTCTGCCTCCCGAGTGCTGGCATTAAAGGCGTGCGCCACCACCACTTGGCAGGTAACAGGCTTTTACAGTGAGACTTTTAGCTAAGTTAACATCCTTTCGTCGTCGTCATTGATAGGGGGTCATACAGCCCAGGCTGGCCTTGAACTTCTTATGTACCAGAGGATGACCTTGAACTCCTGATCCTGTTTCCACCTTCCGAAATGTCGAGATCATAGACCTGTGCCACTGTAACACCTGCTTTTTTTTTTTTTAAAGTCAAGGTTCAGTGTTCAGTATGTGGCCCAGGCTGGCCTAGAACTTGCAGTGATCCTCCTGCCTGAGCTTCCCAGTGCTGCATGCTGCAGCTAACATCCTTTTAAACATTTATAAATGAACAGAACCCCCTGCGTGTTCCCTAAGCAGACACTGCAGAGACATACCACTCTGGCTCCTCCGTGACTGTGAGGCTCTGGGCCAGCTTGCTGTAATCAAAATTATGGAGGTCCTTTCATATGCTGCCACTTTAGAGAGTCAGGGTCAGAACAGATCCCATGCTGGCTCTGAGGAACTCAGAGAGCGATTCTGGCCTGCAGCCCATCATTCACGGTTCCACCCTCCAGGAGAGCCACAGAACAGGCCATGTGTAGGAGGGACTGGGCTCTCTCTGTCAGACTTCTCAGTCAGGAAAATTCTTTTTCTCTTTCTTTCTCACTTGCTCTGACTTGGAGACAGTACATGTGAGTTCAGGGTGAGCCAGAGGTTTGTTCTCGGCCTGTCAAGCCTCTTTGATGATGGGACAGGAAACAAGCCACAGTGTTTTGGGGGGCTTGGGGATTTTTTTTCTACCTCCAAATGAAAAAATTCTGGCATGGGCATAGTCCAATGAAGATTTATACTATTTGAAAAAAGTCCAACTGGCAGGGTCTAAGAGATGGGTTCAAAACCAGCAGAGCAGTAGTGCTGGAAGGTGCAGGAAGATGGAGGCGAGCTTGGGGACTAAGTTTATGCAGAAGAAAGGGAATGAAGGGCTCTTTTGAGAACCTTGTCTTTCTTCTACTGCTCTCTAAAAAAATCATTTGTCTCTTGACAAACACCCACCCGAGAACCTGATGAGTATGTCTTTGCCTTGGGAAATTTCTGAACTCCATTAAACCTTCTGCCCTCTGTCCTGGAAGCTGGGGGTTGGGAGAGAAGGCAGGACATGTCCACAATGGCCCCAGTGTCTAGAGGATGGCAGGAGCTCTTGGGAAGCCTGTGATAAATTATTTACCTCTCTTGGCCCTTCCGGAATCCCAGAGGCTGCTGATCTGTTTTAACTGAGGCCTATTCATTCAGAAAACATTTACTCAGAAGTTACATGGAGCCAGGAATAGTGCCAGGGTCTGGAAACATGAGGACGACACAGTCACTGCCCTCAAGGAACTTAGAGTCCTGAATAGTGGTTTTCAAATTGCAGAGTATATAGGGTCCACTTCATCAGCTATGAAATAAACTAGCGGATGGTGGCCAGTGAAAGACAGGCTGGAAAGGAAAGAGGTAGGGAGAGAAAGGGAAAACAAACTCCAAGGTATCACAGTAGTTTCAGTACCTCGTTTGTTACCGGGTTTCTAGAAAGTTCTTGCCCAGAATGATTAATCTTATGTATCTTTTTTTTTCCTTCTTCCAGACAGGGTTTCTCTGTGTAGTTTTGGTACCTGTCCTGGAACTCATTCTGTAGACCAGGCTGGCCTCGAACTCAGAGATCCACCTGGCTCTGGCTCTGCCTGAGTCCTGGGATTAAAGGCGTGTGCCATAACTCCCAGCTAATCTTATATACCCTTAAATGAGATATAATTACTGAAATGCAATAATTTTAAGTAAAATATTGAATATTTTTCCTAACTTTTAAATTCCTTTTCTAGGGAACGATACAGCTTACACTGCACTGAAAGGATGGTATCAGTAAGACCATGGGTCTGTAGAAAGCTAGCATTCCTAACTCACATCTGCTAAGTCTTAAGGAAACTCCATTCAATTCCTCCCCGGTGTGTGTTTCTGAGACAGGATCTTACTGTGTAACTCTGGCTGGCCTGGAACCTGCTGCAGTCCTCCTGCTTCTGCCTCCCAGAACCAGCTGCAGGTTTTTGGAGGTGAGGGGACAAATTATTCACATCTTAATTAGCTATTATTTACAATTTCAAGCCACATTAGATTTCACAAGTTAGTGTGTCTAGTGTATCTGTGTGTATATGTGTACACAGATGCACATTTACCCATTGGCTACCTGTAAAAAGTTTTTTTTTTTTTTTGGTGTGGTATTTTTGTCTATTTAAAACAAAACACTTGAAATCTACTAGTTTAGTGGGAGAAATATAACCTGATATTAGCGTCTGATAGTACCATGAAAGACAGACCAACAGAGAAACGAAGGCTGCTAAGGAGACAGGCCTGTCTACCTGGTGGAGTCCGGGCAGCGGGCCATGGCCATGACCCCAGCAGAGGAAGCAGTGCATGGAAGGCTTGGGTACACAGCAGCTATAGAGATCGCGGTGTTGAGAAATAAGAGGAGAGAGGAACAGAAGGTGGTGGTACAGGATGGAGGAACAGGGGCCCCAGATCCAGAGCTCCAAAGCCCTAAAGGATTCGGGATCCTGTGGGCCCTCTCAGCTCAAATCACACCAGAGGGCTTGGTGACCACTCAGTACTGTGAACCCAGAGGGACTCTCTTGAAGAGACAATCCACTTTGGCTATGTAACAGCAAACTCTTCCAGAAGAACCCATGGTTATGTTCAGAGGGCTGGAAACAATTGTCCTGCTTCAAGCTCCTGGTGTTATTATGGTTTCTAAGTCAGGGAACCTGATCTGGACTTCAACTGAATCTGGGACTGGTCACTTCACTTCTCCAGGAACTACTCCCCACACTCTGGGTGGAGCCAAGGCTAACATCTTGAGCACTGTAGGGGCATCCAGAGGAGGGAGAGCAGAGGAGAAAAAGAGGACCAAGTTTTGACCTTACAGAGTATACGGTGTTCTTGTGGGGAGGGAGAAAAACGAAAGGCAATGAAAAGGAATGCCATGAAGGACTCGGGCTGGTTAGGAAAAAGGAGGAGGCTCTTGAGTCTTAGTTAGGGCTCATCAGTGTCTGGGTTCTTCAAATCGTGGCTCCAAAGGCGGCCAGAAGGAGGAGAACAAGCGTCTATGTGGAGCCAGCAGTGAGTAGACGCAGAACTGGCTACAGCGGACACACACGGGGCAGTGGGTGGCCAGTGAAGAGGGACAAGGGTCATTAGATCAGGGAAACAGCAAGGTGAGCAGGGCGGGTGCCAAGGAGAGGAGAGGAGGCCGGGGACGGCAGAGCAGGTACCATCTACAATGTTGTACACACTGCTAGGACTGGGCTCTGGGCCCTTGCTGGTTGTGTTGGACCCTTCATTTAAAATGCCCCTCAAAGCCTGTCCTCTAGGACATTTCCTGACCAGCCTCCCAGGAGATGCAGGCTGGCTTGACCAAGGCATTCTGCTGACAGTCCTTGGGTTTCCCAGAGGTCCCTCTGCAATCCCAGCAGCTCAGCACTGTCATGGAGGCTGGCCACAGAGCTATGTTTGCCGACAGAGCCCCTGTGGCTAGGACTTAGGAGGTCTTCCTTTGATGCAGCTACATGAAGCCATGTAAATGTGGAAGTGTAAATTAAATAAAGAGAAGCTCCTTCTCCCATTCTGATTTCCATTTTTACCACAGTCTGGCCAACTAATCAGCATATGGCATTCTTGGAGAAACAAATGGAGATTTGTTTAAGCCATGATGCCAAATGGTCATGAATTGCAGAATATGTAATTTTCAACAAGCTATTTCCCTCCACTGGACCAGCTAGGATTCAGATCTGCAGGCAAGCCAGCTGGCAGCAACACGTGGGGTTGGCAGGCTCCCCAGTCCCTGAGATTACCTTGCCTTCATGAGGGGGTGGTGCTGGTGGGCTGAGTGATTATGGCAGAGTAAAACCATCACCCCCCAAATGGAGAAACTGCCATGGAGCCCTCCTTCTCGGGCTCTCTCCCCAGTGCCCTGCTCTGGTGTGGACCAGCTTCCAGAGAATTTGGAGAAAGACTGTAAGTTGGACATGTCTGGAAAAGGAACAAAGGCCCCAGCCATGTGCTACCCCTTCATGGGCTCCTCTGGGGAAGAAGCTTTGCTCCTAAAAGAGAGGGTCCATGAGGGCTAAGGCCTTTACCCTTTGACCAGGATCTTGGTGAGGTATTCCATGAGGCCCACCCACAGTGGAAAGCACTGGGGTCCCCTGTCAGGGCAGGCCTGAAATCACAGCCTGCTCTCCTTCCCTCTAGTACCACTCAAGGGGAATCCTGCAGCCCCAGCCCACGACTTCCCCTGCTGCCTGAAGGAAGGCTCACCTGGACTT